GTGGCCTGCCCTGCCGGGGTAGGCTGTGGTTTGTCATCCAAGGGCTCACAACAGGGCAGCTGCGTCCTCAGCAAGGTGGAGGTGAGAAGAGGCTGGTAGCACCTTTAAGAAGTGGAGCTTAGTGTGGGTACTAGGGCCTGGGGCAGGGTCCATGAGCTTTTCTTCTCAAGGATGGTGCTCTACCAATTGAGCAATTGCTCCACTTCCAGCTTTTTGGTGGTTTATCAGAGATAAGTGTCTCATGAACTTTCCTACCCAGGCTGGCTTTGAAGTGCACTCCTCAGATCTCAGCCTCCTGAGTAGCTGGGATTACAGGTGTGAGCCACTGAGTAGCTGGGATTACAGGTGTGAGCCACCAGTGCCCAGGTCCTGGGCTGGCTTTGAACCTCGATCCTCAGATCTCAGCCTCCTGAGTAGCTGGGATTACAGGCGTGAGCCACCAATGCCCTCCTTGGAGAGGCTCTGCAAGGCCTAGGAGCCAGCTTGGCACGTCTCTCTGGCACCCCATGCCCACTGGAGGCCAGGCTTGTCTCTGTGATTTCTAGCTACGCTACTATTTTCTGCTGCATGCCTTGGCATCTTAGGCGAGGTGCACGCCGCCTGCCAACGCCTCGAGAGAAACTCGTTCACAGATCTGGGGACTTGTCTTTCTGGGGTCCCACTGATGGTAGGATTGTACCTTGCGTTTTCCTGCTTCTGCCTGCAACCTGGGGCTCTTGTCTAGCGAGCATGCCTGGGCAGACAGATTGGAAAGCGAAGTCGAGGAACAAGCCAGGCTGGCTGGGGAACCCCCACATCTGCGCTCCCCTGATTTCCACGGCTGCAGCCCGCACAGCCGCTTCACATAAGGCACTGCATATGATGAGATCTGGAAGTCTCTGCCCCACATTTCACCAAACAGGAAGAAGGCCTGCCTGCCTGCCTGTCTACGTGACTAGACACCTCCATTTTGCTACTTCTGTCATCTCCTCTGGCCACTTTCTTCAATGCTAGCCTTCACGAGGGCTTCTCTTTTTCTCCCTCTCTTCCCCCTCTCCCCTCTGCCTCCTCCATTGGTACTGAACTCACAGCCTTGGACCGTGCTATGCAGTCACCCTATCACGAAGTCACACCTGCAATCTTTTCTCCTTTCCACTTTTTTCCTCCTTTCTTCCAGATAAGAGTCTCATGCTTTTGCCCAGGGCTGGCCTCAGCCCTCCTGTCATCCCACATCTGCCTCGTGTGGCTTGGATCACAGGCACACCCCAAAAAGGCTTCCCCGCTCCCTGCACAGTCTGTCCTCCATGCTGGGACTGGGTTAATTTGTTAAAAGTATAAAGATATGGGGCTGGGAAGGTGGCTCAGTGGTAGAGTGCTTTCCTGGCATGCATGAGGCCCTGGGCTTGATTCCTCAGCACCACGTAAGCAGAAAAAGCCGGAAGTGGCGCTGTGGCTCAAGTGGTAGAGCGCTAACCTTGAGCTGAAGAGATGAGGGACAATGCCCAGGCCCAGAGTTCAGGCCCCACAACCGATCAAAACAAAAACAAAACAAAAACAGTATGAAGACACGCTGGGTGTCAGTGACTCACGTCTGTAATCCCAGCTACTCAGGACAGCTGAGATCTGAGGATCACAGTTCAAAGCCAGCCCTGGCAGACGTAGCTGTGAGATGCTTGCCTCCACTTAAATCACAAGTGGAGCTGTAGCTCAAGTGGTGGAGCACCAACCTTAAGGGGGAAAAAAAAAGGCCAGCCAAGAGTGCAAGGCCCTGAGTTCAAGCCCCAGTTCTGACACAAAAATAAATAAAAATATTAATTAAAAGAGTGGGTATTAGTCGGGCACCAGTGGCTCATGCCTGTAATTCTAGCTACTCAGGAGAATGAGATTTAAGGATCCAGGTTCAAAGCCAGCCTGGGCAGGAAAGTCCATGAGACTGATCTCCAATAAACCACCAGAAAACCAGAAGTGGTGCTGTGGCTCAAGCAGTAGAGCGCTCACCTAGAGCTGAAGAGCACAAGGACAGTGCCCAGGTCCAGAGTTCAAGCCCCAGGACTAACAAAAAAAAAAAGAGGGTGTGCAACAAGCAGCCATACAAGCCTGTGGGCAGCAGATAATGAGTGAGGCGAAGGGACATGGTGCAAATGTGAGACAGGGTTAAACTGAGTTGGTGTTGGAGGTGCTATTGGGGTGGCATGGGCTGATGGGATGGAGTGCTAGCTCAGGGCTGCAGCCCACAGGGGCTGTGGCAGTGCTTACCAGGCCTGGGTGCATTGCAGAGGTCGGAGCCGCACACCATCTCCCAGAGGCTGAAGATCTGCGCCCCCACGCGGTAGCTCATGGTTCTGTTGGTCTTGTTCCTATTGGCACAGCCTCTCTCCACCTCCTCCGTGTCCTCTGTGGGGCAAATGAATGGGTCTTGAGTGCCCTGGATGCTCCCTGGGCCCAGGCAACCTTTAGATACTCAGCCTCCGTCACCCACTTCCAGCACTGACCCTAGCCAGGTCTCGTTTTTTGTTTTTGGTCCAGTCATGGGGCCTAAACTCTGGGCCTGGGCGCTGTCCCTCAGCTCTTCAGCTCCAGGCGAATGCTCTACCACTTGAGCCACAGCGCCACTTCTGACTTTCTGGTGGTTCATTGGAGATAAGAGTTTGACAGACTTTCCTGCCTGAGCTGGCTTTGAACCTTGATCATCAGATCGCAGCCTCCTGAGTAGCTAGGATGACAGGCGTGAGCCACGGGCACCCGGGGGAAGCCCTGGCCAATTGGACCAGCTACTTTTCCCTGGAAACACGGGGTCACCGCTGGGCCGGGGCCTTGGCTCACACCTCTCCCGGCCCAGCATGCCCTCCCTTCCCAGCCTACGGCATCCAAGCTGCGTCGGGGCCAAGATTTAGGAGGAAGACCGAACGTGAGCCAAGGCTTTCCACTGGCAGGCTCACGGTCATTAGGTGAGTCACTCCCAGCCAAGGCCTAGTCATCACCATCAAAGAGAAATACCCAAAGGCCCACGACCATGTCTTCTCAAGCGAACCCCACACAGATGGATGGTCCACAGCAGGGCATCTGCGGGGCCGCGCCTGGCTGGGCTCCTCTGTGAACCCTTCTACCTCCTCGGCTCCTCCCAGGGCCCTGGCCTTCCCTGCACCATCCATGCTCCCCTTGTTTCTTCTTCTCCTCTCCCCTTTCCTCCCATCCAACCTTCCTTTTCTCTCCCCCACCCCCTCTGGTTGGTAATGGGGCTTGAACTCAGGGCCTGGCACTGTCCCTGAGGTCCTTTTGCTCGGGGTTAGTCCTCTACCACGTTGAGCCACAGCTCCATTTCTGGTTTTCTGCTGGTTAACTGGAGATAAGGAGTCTCACGGGTGGGGCTGGGAAGGTGGCTCAGTGGTAGAGCGCTTGCCCTGCATGCATGAAGCCCTGGGTTCGATTCCTTAGTACCACATAAACGGAAAAGGCTGGAAGTGGCGCTGTGGCTCAAGTGGTAGT